TCCCACTGCTAGTTTTTTTTTACATTTATTTACTTAATTATTGTCCTTAACGATCTCTGATAGTTATAAATACTTGACTTGGACATGAATGGTGTTAAAAATATGGATGCACAATATTTAGCCAATATCGCTCATGCATTAACTTATCATAATACGAATGTTGAAGAGTTATATCTATGTCAGAATACGTTTGTTTATAGTTCGACGAACGATATTCTTGTGGATATGTTCTTACAAAATCAATCATTGAAAAAACTTTATTTATATAATTGTAGCTTGTCTAAGTTCGATCAAGAAACATTGAGACAGAATAATTCATTTAAATTTTGAATACATATCTATCATAGTACGTTTGCATATCTTATATCTTGTGACATTTATGTCACAACGACTCAATAGAAGAAAAATAACTCATTAGAAACTTCTAAATTTGTCGATCCAATTGTTTCAATTTGTGTTTCTTTCTTTTATGAAAATTAAGTTTAGTAACGGAAAAATAAACAAAATATTGTCAGTTTGTATAGATTAGTCTATCTTAATAATTGTTCCTGATGGCTTATTCTAAAGTATTGAATGTCGTTCTAATAGAAATGAAAGAATAGTCTAGCAAAGTGCATATAGTTATGAAAATCTAACTACTAAAGAGACAAAAAAATGTGAGGGTGTGGAAGTGAGAGAACAGAACATTCATATCGGTGTCCAGACTCTACATCGACACACAACTACAGTCACACCCATTCGCACACCCTGTCGTAGACGAGACATGCTACTATGTATTCATGCAATAAAACTTTAGATATTAATTATTTTATAATATTTTTAAACGCCATGATCAGCAATTTTAGTCAACCCTAAGTAATTCTTTGCTAAGATATTTGCAAAACATCTGATGTTATAATCGGTTTGTCTCACCTGGCCTTTCCTATATTTTGAATAATTCACATGAACTATCTAATAATTAAGAAAATCAAAGATATAGCTTTTATTTAACTATTCAAAATTGTCAATTACTTTTTCGTTTTACAAAATAACAAAGATGTTATATGTTACAGTGTCAGGTTTGTCTGTGTTTATTAATGAACATTTTATATTTATAGTTTTTCTATGTTTTTCTGATTATCTAATTTTGTTTTCTCATGAAAAATATTTTTTCTTTATCTTTTACTGTGCATTCGATTAATGCCTTCATATTCAGAAGAACATCATTAACTTCATTGATGTTTCATTACTCGAGATGATTAGTAGTGACAGACTAATTTTTCATGCATTCTCTTTTTTTCATTTGTATTCACTACAGTACTTGAGAGTATGACATCCATCTATTTTTAACCATTAAAAGAGTAAAAGATGATTTCCAAAAGAAGATAGATATACTAATTTTTTTCTTCTAATGTGTACTTTGAGTTATGAGGTTTTCCGAGATATACGAGATGTTGACGTTTTTCTTTTTTCTTCAGTCTAGACATTGCAAAAGCATGTACATATAGTGCTCTTCATCAACCAAAATTATTTGGACACAACAACAGATAATAACGATGAATAATTAAAAAAAGAAAAAAAACTTCTGTATCTTATAAAAATTAAAAATTTGAAAGGATTTTTCTTTTTCAAACAATAAATTTGATTTCGAAGAAAATCCAAGGTACTAGTTAATTGCATTATGAATTTTTGGAGACTTCATATAGTGTAGACATGAAATTTAAGATCATCATGTGCATGTAACAGTATAAAAGACATTAACGTCAAATAATTAAGAAGCTTTTCTTGAACAGAGAATAAGATCAATAATCGCGTTTTTTTGTCACATGGAGAGATAAGAAGAAAGTCTTCAAAAGAAGCTAATTAAATAATTAAATTCTTTTTATAGAAATCAATTTTAATGCCGCATTTAACTACAACATACATTTTGCACAAGAACAAAAAACACTTTGAAGAAGGTAGCAGAACAAAAAGAGACTCGTTTTGATGTGCGGGCATGTTGTTTTTTTTAAGTCTACGCATGAAATCGAGTTGATTTACCAAAATATTTTGATTTGTAAAACGTATTTTCTTATTAATAATTAGTAAAATATGTTTTATCTATTTTATTATTCCGTATTAAAATTTTGATTGAAACACGTATTCTTTCTCTTTTTTTGTTTTCTTAGAATTTGCTATATGACAACATAAAGAGAACGCTTTAACTATTAAGCTTCATCATTTCTACGTAGATTGTTATCGATTTGTTCTTGTTTGGAGTTTCTTTTTCTCTACTGAATAGTACTATAAGTGTTCTTGTATCTGGTTCTATGTAAGATGATTGTTGATAAGTTTAGCTACATTGCTGGAAAAGGTTGGGACTCCGTTTATGTTACAGATTATGTCAAAAAAACGTGTCTGGGAAATGTAATTAATACATTCTCTGTCTTTCAGTATAGTTATCATGATAGACATCTTGAGTTTCTCTCACACATGCATCATAGCAAAGTATAATGAAACGGAAAAACTTATGATAGCATTTAGAAATTTCCCAAACTTCAACAGGCATTCACAAATCATCTTGTTTACCTTAAAAATACAACACTTTTGCTGTAGTTTCGATACGAAGTATGACAAAGCTTGTTAACAACGTTAGTATATTACATGCATGAATTAGGTTAATTATGAAGATAACTGTCTGTCACATGCTGCATAATTGAGTAACTCTGATTTTTTGCTTCTACGGTTTTCCAAGAAATATTATACTAGAATAAGATCTTTCGTAATTTTTGTATTCACACTTCTTATCAGATTTATTTTAATTCTATAGAATTACTATTTACAAAAAAAAAAAACAAATATGCCGTAGTTTGCAATGTTTTCTTCTACAATAACGTATAGCTTGATAAAAGCTTTTCTGCGCGCATTATTTCTAATCTGAATAGATATGTTTAAGCATTGAAAAAGAAAACAAGTTTATTTAGGATTTTTTTTATAAAATTCTCGCATCGGTAATTTGCGTAAATTTCATAAAACATGTTCAGAGTTGTGTTTGTGTGCGTCTATTAGGGTCATGAAATACTATCTTACGATTTTACTAGTATCATTGCATTCAGAAAGCTGTTTTCTTTGAATAGATCAAAGATCGATATATACATGAGTTTTCATTCTGATATATCAACGTATGAGCGAACTGTAATCTTCTTATGTAAAGAAGCCTATATACCGATAACATTCGTATTATTTCTTCAAATTCTTTAACTTCGAACGATACTTCTGGTATATGAAAAATAGACTAAAATTGTTTGTTTCATTACCATACTTTATGCCCTCTTGAAAAAAAAATAGTTAGACCAAATATTTTTAACATATTATCTCTATAAATAAATATTCTTATAAAAAGTAATTTTATTTTCTTATAGCATGTGGAATTCTTTAAAATCCGAGATATGTATGCTTTCAATGACACTTATTCGTTGAAATAGAAATTTAAACACAATAAAGGCACTCTCACCATCAAATTTATTTTAATGTAGGAACAAGCTATTACAGAAGTAAATATATATTCTGAAAGCAAGTGAAATTCACTATAATTCCTTATTTTTATCAGTCTTAGTTCTCACTTCTTTGATGGAAAATATTTCAAAAGTTGTTAATGCATTGTCACTCTGATACCCTCATCCTCAACTATTCCACATCAATCATACAACAGTCCACAAATGATTATTTAGTAATCAAATAAGATGTGTGAAGAATTATTTACCTTTCAGTCCTGACAGAAATATGATATATGACAGACTTAACCATATTCGACATATTTATCATCAAATAACTGGCAGTAAAGACTAGTAAAAATAAGCAAATAAAGAGAATTTCATGTGCTTTCAGAATTTATATTTCCTTTTGTAATAGTATGTTCCTACATTAAAATAAATCTGACAAAGGAACAAAAAATACATTTCCGGGGAATCCTGACGATGAGGATGCCTTCATTGTGCTTCAATTTCTATTTTAGCGAATAAACACAATTCAAAACATACACATCTAGGGTTTTAAAGAATTCCACGCACTACCGAATATGTAATTACTTTTTTGTAAGAATATTAATTTATAGTTTTAATATGTTAAAAATATTTAGCCCTATTATGTTTTTTCAAGGCGATACTTGAAGTTGAATTTTATGCAAGATATAAAAACAAAGATTAATTATATGAATCACAGTACAACAAGTAGAAATCTATTTTTATTGTAAACGCATCTTGTTACTATCTATACACATGAAGATATACTTAAATTTCATGAAAAAAAAAGTTAAAAAAAAAAAGAACAGTTGTGAACACATTTTATTATTTGAAAAATGCGTTCTCAACCCTGATTTTTTGTAAACTTTCTTTCATAGGATGACATAGAGTTCTATATTCTTTAGTTTATTTTATTCGGGAGAATGATCTAGTAGTTTGAAGACCCGATATTAAAAATAAATTGTATTACATCATTGTCACATTTTGCTGTATTCTATAAATTGTATAAAGTACACATGATTATTATGTAGTGCGATCTAAAGCAAGTATGGAAGATTTAGACCCCCTGCACAAGCATATTCACAAGATCAAAGTCTACTGCGAAATTGCTATAACAGTTATTCTTTCGTTCATACTCACAGAAATATAATGCGATTAATATCCTTCATCAGCGACATGCGTTAACAGTAGATAAGAATGCATAAAGCGAAACATATATTGATTGATGCCCTCTGTTACAATACTAGCAGCATCGTGTTTTACATTTTTATCCCGCAGAGATTATGCTAACAGCTTTTTTTTTTTAAATATATATTGCTATTTCTGTTTATTATTCTTCCAAAAAACAAAATTAGATGACTAAAAATAGAATATACATGGAGAATATGACAAATAGTATTTTTCTTTTTTTTTAACGTTTACAATTGAGTAAGATAATTGAATAGTTTCATTTTTGTTTTTGTAGAGAAGAAAAACAAATTGTTATTTTAAAAACACGTAGATTAACATAGTAATTTTATAATGGGTTGTCCATCATCGAAAACTATTACACCGGATGTTACACCTAAACATTTTTCATTAGATAATGAAGCACCATTATCAGTGACGAAAACTATTCCACAATCAACACGTTTTCTTGAAAATTATCTTATTATTTGGCTTTATGATGAAAGTTCAAATAAATATGACAATGAAATAAAACAATTACGAAAACTTGTTTATGGATTAAAAACATTTAATAATATTGATGCATGTATAACTTTTATCGATGGTATTCAAGATGAAAAGGTATTTCTTATTGTATCTGGAATGAATCAAACACTCGAACATTTTCATTGTTTACCACAACTCGAAAAATTATATATATTTGATTCTTCTTATAAACTAAATGATGATAAATATGAAAATTTAAAATATGATATTATTCAAAATATCGATAATCTTTATAAACAAGTTCAAGAAGATGTAAAATTATGTGAAATGGATTTTATACTTCTTACTGTTGTATCTATACCATTAGAAGATATTTCATGTTCATCAAAATTAACAAAATCACAAGCATCATTTCTTTTTGCACAAATGTTAAAAGAAATTATTGCTCGTTTTAGATTCGAAAGTTGTTCTAAAGATGTTTTTATTGATTTTTGTCGATTACATTATATAAATAATAATGAACAATTACGTATAATTGATGAATTTGCAAAAAATTATCGTCCACATAAAGCTCTTTGGTGGTTAACAAATCAATGTTTTATTTCAAAAATATTGAATCGTGCACAACGTACGCATGAGATTGATATTATTTATAAACTCGGTTTTTTTATTAAACAAGCTAATATACAACTTAATCGTTTACACCAAGAAAATGCATCATTAATGGAAACAATTTCTATCGTATATCGTGGTAAAACGATGTCAGCTACTGAATTCGATAATACAATAAAGAATAATAGTGGTGGTTTTCTTACGTTTACGAATTTTCTTATTGCTACTACTGACAAAAAAGCTGTTATTGATTTTCTTGATCGTCGACTTGCTATGCATCCTGATATGATAGGGATTGTTTTCGAAATAAATATCGATCAAACAGTATTTAATGAAAAAAGTCCATTTGCCTTACTCAAAGATGCAGATATGAATAAAAATGAGATTTGTTTTTATATGAGGACCGTTTTTCGTATTGAATCTATTGAACAAACTATGAATGGTATCACGATGATATGGTTTGTTAAATTAAAATTAATTGATGATAATGATCAACAATTACTTCGTATCGTAGCATCTACTCGACATGATGATGTACATGCGAATCCAGGTTATTGTTTGGGTAAATTGCTAATGGATATGGGAGAATATAAACGTGCTGAACAATTTCTTCTCGAATTATTACAAGATTCGTCTGTTCGTAGTCAACCTCGACGTCTTGTACGTGTACATAATGGTCTCGCTGCTATTTATACATATAATAATAAATATGTTAAAGCTTTATATCATTATCAACAAGCACTTGAAACGAGCTTGACCTATCTACAATCTAATCATCCAGATCTTGTACCTATATACAAAACAATTGGTGATAGTCATTTGAACCAAAAAGACTACATTCATGCTTTAGAAAACTATGAGAAAGCATTAGAATTGTTGGAACAAGGTACACCACAAGTTCATGCCGACATGATTACTGATCTACATATTTGTGTTAACAAGACAAAGCAATTGAATGAAAATAATAAGTAACTTTGTTGGGTTTATTAATATTGTCGAATGATTATATGTAAATCCTCTCACAGAATAGAAGTCCACCCTATCTGAACAAGTACAAAATAGCAATATAAATCCTTAAGTAGATTAGTTTGTTGCTTTTCGCTATTTAGTTGTAACTTTTTTGATGAGTCGAAAAATGTGTACGTATGAATATTAAGGAGAGATAGATGTTCAGGAGCTAGGCATCCTTTCATATCATTTTGTTATCGGACTATACATAGCCTAGAAGTGGAACGATGCAAATTTCTATTAAAGTGACAAAAATATGAACAAAATCTTGAAACTGAAAAAATGAGACAGCTCACATCCTTGAATGATGGTCGATTGAAATTACGCGATAGTTGATTGGACTCAAAAACAAGTGTCAGTATGACATGAGTACGACATCGATTATTGAAACATTTGTAAGATCCGAATTAACTATTTCATAAAAATGAGAAGTCCTTATTTGATAGTAAAAGGTTTATTTTATACTTCTTTCAAAATAATTAAAATACAGTAAACCTCCTGTCAAGGGATTACTTTTGAAAAGTCTGAAGAGTGTGGCAGAACTTTATAGAATTTTTTTTCAACTTTTCGAAAGCTCTATAGCCTCTCCAACCAAAGTATGACAATAAGTACGGTTTAAAGTATCAATATTAAGATTCACTAAGTGCTGATAACAGATGAACGTGTGAACTGGAACAGTATATAAGTCAATTTTTTAGTTCTTCAGTAATTATCAAAGTTTTTAGATGGTTTGAAAACTTCAATTTATCGTATCTTATGTATTTTTCTTTTGACTTGAAAATAGATTAGAAATCTTGTGGACTTCTATTCTATGGGAGGTTAAATAAAAAAAAAAAACTTTATGTATATTATAAAATCAAATGTGTATATATGGCAAAATAAAATGGCGAACGAATGCAATTGTTTTTTTTTTAAATAAAAGTTTATTCCATATTCAGTTTTGTTTTAAATAATTGTATCATTTCGGCAGTGTGTAGTATTTGTTGCTTTTCTTAACCATGTCATGTGGTGGGGTGTTGGTTTTTGTTATTTGCTTGCAGTTCATCGTGAACTTTGAGGATAAGAAAGCGGAAAAAAGAAACAATAAATGTCACATATTAAAAAGAAGAATGACTCAATTTCTAAAACAAGGTCATAAAAAAAAAGAAGAATTATGTTTATTCTGTTGTGAGTACATTTGTTTTGTGGTATTCTTTAGTTAAGTGAGGTAAACTTTTAATAGATTGTTTATCATAATCTGGTATCGAAATAGTACTGATTGATATGGGAAAATCATTGAATCGAACTCTTGATGGATTTATTTGTCATGCAAATGGTACACTTCAAAATGGATTAATAACCACAATTGTTTATAATAAAACAAAATTAGTAAACAACAAAGAATATGATATAATAATTATTGGTGCCGGGTTTGCCAGTCTTATTGCTGCACGTGAACTTAGTCGTCGTGGTCGAAATGTATTAATTATTGAAGCAAGAGATTGTATAGGTGGTCGAACTTTTACTACATAAGTTGGCAATCAACAATATGAAATCGGAGGTACATGTATTCATTGGAGTCAACCACACATATGAACAGAAATAAAACGTTATGGTTTTATATTAATTGAATCTGAAGGAGCAATAACTGATCATATTAGTGTATTACTTGATAATGGTACTAAACTAAAAACTTTACCAATAAATGATGTCGATCGTAAATTGTTTGATCTTATGAAAAAATTTAGTAATGTAGATGGAACATTAAGACGAACCATCGTTCCTTTACCATATGCACCTCTAACTGTTTTTCAAGCTATTCAAACTCTTGATCATGCGACAATGATGATGTACGTCAAATTTTAGATGTTTAGTTTTCAATGAATACACAATGTGATTTGAGATAAAGTGAATTTCTTGATCATCTGTGTTTTTGGTCATGTGATGACTATGATACAATTCGTACATGGGATAAAACAAGTCGATATAAAATACGGGAAGGAACAAGTGCATTAGCTCAAGCCATACTTGATGATTGTCAAGATGTGAATTTATTACTCTCTCCACCTGTTGTTTCTATCCATGGAACAGATGATAAAAAAGTTATAATTCATACATAATCTCAACAAGTTTTCAATGCTTGTGCTACTATTATAACTGTTCCATTAAATGTATTGCATAATATAGAATTTACACCAACACTTGAATTCGAAAAACGAAGTGCAATCACTGAAGGTTAATGTCGTGGTGGCACTAAATTTTGTGCTAAACTGCAAAATTCAACAGGTAATTGGCGTATTTTTGCACCCTATCCTAATTCAATTATACTGTGGCTTATACAGATGATCAAGAAGGTACTATGATTATTGGTTTTGATCCTGATAATGCAGTTGATATTCGAGATATTACAGTAGTAGAACGTGAACTACAGAAATTTTTACCTAATTGTAAAGTCAAACATGTTTTTGGACATGATTGGTCATGGTATAAATCAGATTAAGTATCATCGAATCTTCGTGTACTATAGACACCACAATTATCGTTGTTCTTTGCCAGTAGTGATTTATCTAGTAGTTACCGAGGTTGTACAGATGGTGCATTTGAAAGTGGTTTTATTACTAGTGTACGTAAACTTCAACAGTATTTTAACAGTCAAATTATCTAAATTGAATGGTTTCATGAAAAAGATCGATTCTCGTTTTTATCCATATGCTAAAGCAATTGTTTTTTTCTGATCATTTCTTCATGTGTTAAAGATATTTGTCACTCTATCATTTTTTATCATATTTCTCTTACTAAATATAGTAGAATATATTAAAAAGAAACAAACATAAAATACGATTCATATATGATTAAATCGATCATACTTGAAATCGGCTGGTTTTCATAATTTGTCTGCCAGTATTTTTATCGACATGCACGGTTTTAATGATGAAGAGATGTAAGATTACTAGTTTTCAACTGATACATTTCAAGTCATTGGCAAAATGCTAGCTCTAAATATTGAGTTAATTTTTTCTCATCTTACGATGAGAGCTTTGAATCATGTTGAATGAATTTTTTATGCTCAACAAAGTTANAATTCAAAAAATTGTAATGAAATCTAAAATCATTTTTGAAGAAAAACGAGCGAAGAATGATAACTGAATATTAACGCCTCGGATTATACGAAGAAATATATGCACTGCATGAAAACGAATTTTCTTGAACGTATTACAAAACGAGAGCACTTTACTCTGCCAGGAGTATCTCTTATAAGGACGGAAGAGAAACATATTCAAGTGTATTACTACTATTCTATTGTACAGATTACTCGGAAGCTTGTCTTGGTCACCGAGAGTTGCTTTATCCAAGACAGAATTTAAGTCTCAGTCTCTCTCTATCTCCTTCAATGATTTTAGATTTCATTACAATTGTTTGAATTTTTGTAACATGGTAGACAATACATCATCTGAGCAAAGTACCGCAGTATTGTCATCAGGTAACGACGACAATCGATTTCTAAATGATAGAGTGAAATCAGATGTTTAATAAAAGTATTTCTAATCTTTCTAGATTTTGTCAAGACTTTCTTAGAAAATGTGCTTCGTTCTGAATAGTTTTCAATAAAATTTCGACAGACCCTAGTTCACGTTCTACTCTACATGGTTAAACTATTCGGAAAATGTTTTGTTCAGAAATATCATTTTATGAAAATTTATAAGAGTATTGTTGCTGGTGGAGCTCCTTCCAGTGGCCACAAATTCTTTTCATGTCTTTGTAAAAGCAGCTATCTAACTGTAAATCATACGGTTCACTAAACAATTAATTGCTACGGCTGATTTGTTTTCGAATGAACTCAGTGAGTTATATAAATAATAGTGACATAATAGTTTAATAGAGAAATGCATATGAATATCTTATGACTTTCTTTTACGAATAGGATCTGCCGCCGTCGCTAAGAGTATCATCGTATTTGATGTAAGTGATTCTTATCTTATAGTGTTTATATGACTGTTCGAAAAATTTTTTAAATATACTTATTTGTTTTCAATTGTTTAAATAGATCAAACCATGGGATCTTGAAACGAATATGCAAGAGCTAGAGAAAAATGTTCGTTCAATCGAAATCGATGGACTCATCTGGGGTACTTGTAAGTTCACATTAATACTGAGAACGAGACATACGATGTTATACATGTTTTTTGGTTCGATAAGTTGAATGTCACTTATGAATGATGGTTTTCAATTCAGTTTGAGACAAGATTTGAAAAAATAGAAAACCTGATAATTTAATCAAAGTGATGTGGAACGAGTTTTTATTGTGTATATCTGTAAACGAAAAAAGCAGCTAGTTTCAAGGATGTGAAAAGTTTTGTTACCTGTATCGGTCTTAATGACAGAAAACACGAAATTCAATTGCAAGTTTTGCATATTCATCTTTTCTGTATCCGATGAAATCAGTACAAACAAGTATTTATTCTCCATCTGTTGTTCTTAGCTCAGCAAGTTCCAGTTGCATATGATCTTCGGCAGCTGCAAATCAGTTGTATCATCGAAGATGATAAAGTAATATTTTTCTTTTTTCAGTAGTTGAAATATACAGAAAAATGTATTTGCTTGTCTGCTTGAATTTAGGCCAGCGATTATCTTGAAGAACGTATCATGCAATTTGAGAATGATGTACAATCGGTTGATATTGTTTCTTTTCAAAAATATTAATTACTCCCTCATAAGTAAGACTATCAGTTTTTCTTTGCTTTTGAAGCCACCATTGTTTTATTGTTGATAAGTTGTTTGATTTGTTTTTTGAATTGAAAATCCAGAAACATGTATTTCGTGCTTAATCTTTTCGCGAATAAACAAGAACTCTTACAAAAAATTGAAGGTGCATGGAAGAAGAATTTCCTGGCAATGAGAAATAAAATCCAAAAGAAAAGCTTCGTAGAAATATGTGAGCTTGAAAGACATTGGTAGTGAAGCAAGTAAATCTCTGATATGCCGTGTATGTAGAACTCTTGAGGTCCCGTATATCTGTTTTAATTCTATGATTTCTGGTTCCAAAAATGCTTGCTTGAAGTCTTTCATCGTTTTATCGGTATGTATTTATTGATGATTGGTCCACGAATTTTTTCGAAAAGCGCTGATTTTCCACTGAAAACTCTTGTACACCGAAAGAAAAATATCAATCAGACTGATTTCTTCACCACAAAGATTCTCGCGATCTTGCAGAAATGAAATTTGCTTTAGCATTCGAATTTGTTAATGTACCTCGTCAGAGCTTCATAATGCCAATGAGTGACCTTTACCCAATTTGTGAATTCGCCTACACACTTGTACGAAACAATTCTTGGTTAAGCCATTGCCTAAAGTAACTGCCACTCGAAGTCCCATTGGAAATTTGAGATCGGTTTCTCTCGTACAGAGACGAGCAACTCAAGTCAGACTTGATTGAAAAAAATATTGGATAGTGACTTTAAAATTTTATCACATCAAGTTATATTTAGTAGCGAATTTTCGTTTATTTTAGGGTGGGTGTGGGTGTAAACATGAGTGTGGCTGTATCTATTCATAACACCCACACTCTTTCTATTAATTTAATCTAATTGAACTAATTTGTGTATTTCAAATGAATAGTTTTACTAAGTTCTTTGAGCTACGAATATTACAAAATTGTGTATCGTTTGAGTCTATTGATTTGAACGTCAACCTTTAATCATCGATTGGTATCCTATTGATCTCTAGTTTCTGTTGTATATATCAATAGATATCTCAAGTCTTTTTTCTGATGGTGACAATATAAAAAAGGCTTATGTCGAAATCATTTTTAAATCAATAAATTTTTAACAACAAAAAAATGCATGTAATCATTAAACAAATTTCCGATTGACAAAATACTAAAAATGTTCTCAAAAAGTTTCTTTTCATAGCAGTGAAAATCAAATTTGAGATCGATGCAACAGCTTTTTAACTTAAATTCCTCATCTCAAACTTTCAAAATCTGCTTGTATTATTTTACTTTTATCAAATGAAAATTAAAATTTCATTCTTTTTAGAAATAATTTATTATTCATAATTAAAATAAATATCTGATATATTCTTCGATTTGTAGTACACTTAGATGCGTAGGAAGTAGTGAATGACAATAGATAGTAGCAGACTTTTTTTGAAATACTTGAGTGCTTCTTAGTATACCCCTTTATCTTTATGTATATTACTAATGTTTTCAATGGTTAAGACAATATCACGATGTTCCAAAGGTAGAGATTTTACATTAATTGTAAGTGATTTATTATAGTGTTTCAATGCAATGCCATATTGACTTTGACAACGATTTATATTACCAATATTATGATGTGATTGACCAACGTCAGGATGATGTTGAGATAAATAATCCAAACGAATATCCAATGCTTACCTATGACATTCAAGTGCTTTGAAATAATTTTTCTGTCGTTGATATACACAACCTATATTAGTTAAACACATAGAAATATTAGAATGACTTTCACTGAATGCTTTTTTGATAATTTAAAATGCTGTGTTATATGACTCAAGTGCTTGTAGGTAATCACTTTTATTAAAACAATCACATCCAATATTGATATAACCAGGTACAAGATGCGGATGGTCTGATTTTAATGTTGTGATTCTCATATAGAGTGATTTTTTTGTGTCATTCAAGATTTGAATTATAATCATCTTTTTCATCAGTGACGCTACAAGACCATGATAACAACGAGCAATATCTGAGTTATTAGAAGAAAGATGATCGAGTAAACAAAGATAATGTTTTTCAGCTTCATCAGATTTATTCATATCTGCTAAGACATTTCCAAAAGCAAAAATTTTTTTTTTCACTATCATGGTCATTTTTCGTATGTTCGAAAATAGCTTTGAGATGATGATCATCATCAGAAGATAATATCATTTGAATAATCGATACTTGATTATCATCATTACGTACATCAACAATTCGAAAGATCGATCCATGCATGACAAAAATTTTTTTTTCAGTTTTTAAATGACTTAGTTTTGTAACATCAGCGAAAACTTTAGTTGTGACAGAAGGATCAATGTCAATTTCAAATAAGACTTGTTCAAAATCATCAAAAATCGAATCCAGAAAACGAAGTGTTACAAAACGATCGACACTAGTGGAGAAAAAAGAATTAATCGAGATAAATTGATCAATTGAATTATGCTGGATTTTCAGTTCGTCTTTCGACATTATTTGACTTCAATAAAGACGAACAGGTGACGAATATCTGTGATTGTTGAATTGCTCATGAAGATCGACAATAAACAACCGAAATAGAAAAATTAATCTGATGTTTTGTACTCATAATGCCTTATTTAGCATTCGATAAAGAAATGATTCACTTGTATACCACCAGAGGGCTTTATCTGAAGAATATTTTTTACTAAATTCTTTGACAATCTTCAATTCAGAATCATTGTCTTTGTATATTGTGTTACAACGAACCATTTAATTCACTTGTGGCTTGCCCTTGGCAAGTAATTAAGATCGGCTCATCACCTTGTTTTTCTTGTCTCACGATCCGATTAAATTTGAGCAACAAGTTCTTTTATCTAGAAAGCGAACACTAACATTATATCGTTAGCAATAGAGTTTTGAAGATCAAACCAAATCATCAACCAATCAAGGGTGGGTATGGGTATTAATTTGCACATAGAAGGTACTCCGTAAATCTACGTTCACACCCACATACACTAAAGATAGAAGATTAGGAACAAAATAATCAAAATAGAAATTGAAAAAGCAACGTAAGCAAGCTCTGTTCACTTTAGCGTGGTCGATGATGGGAACATTTTGTCGACATACAGAAAATGAAAAACTTAAATTTATTTCATTAAGATAATTATTTTCAAGAGTGTAGGTGTAGTGAAGAAAAGACACACACTCAAGTCCCACCTCACATCCACATCCACATCCACACTCACCCACACTAGCATCTTTACTCTGATAAAATTTCAACTCTTGACGACTGTATAGTTTACTGTATTTTCTCCTAAGTATGTTTACAAATCTAAGTCACTCATCAAAATAGAGTTAGACGTGTATGGCCAAACAGAATCACACGAATCTTTGCATAGAAGCAACTTCTTGAGTGTTTTTTTTTCTAGATATTTCCAGGTCGATCTCTTTTTTATTGAATAATATAAGCAAAAGATTGGATTGATGATTGTTATACATAGAATAGTCGAATATAAATGTGAAATCGTAACTTAAGATTAGTGTACTGTGGTTTGGAGTAGTCGAGTTCTATAGAACTTGCTTATCATGGGATCTGTAATACTACTTCTAGTATCAGACCTCTCATTCATATGTTTGAGATCAATACTCGACTGTTGGGAACGCCATTTCTTTTTCTCATATCCAAGATGAAGTTTTCGCATGAGTAAATGATAAAGCGGTTCGTCTATCAACTAGCACAATAGGAATACAACACCAAATATTTCCAAACAAACTATAGTAAATAGAATGGTACGAAATATAATTTGGGCGTATCTAGCTATTGGTTGTTGTACGGTTTTGATATAGAACGGTGTTTCATCTATATCAATTTTTAATACGGTCTCCATTGATGTTGATTGAATATATTGGTCTTTTGAAACATATAAGTTATCTGATTTAATTTTCGATGTAAATATGTAGATACCACTATAGTTGCTCTCTTCGCCTTTCATCGGTACTGTTTCATTGATGACTTTTGTTAGTGATAGACCCACATATAATGTTTGTGCTAGAATATTTCCATTCTTTGAAAAAGATTGAAAAGCATTAAATTTTTTCAAATTATATAATTCTTCTTCGCATGAAGGACCACTTAAACCTATACGAAGAGTGCCAATAATCTGAATACTGCCTAAGGTGATTTCTATAGACATGAGTTGGAAAGGCAGTGGAATCGATAAATATAGAATCGAACGAACATTTTCACAAGTAGACCAACGAATCGTCGACCAAGTCGTGCCAAATAGACCTCAAAGCGATATGCTATCACACATCACTAGCGTATTGATGAAATCAACATGAAGCGTCAAGTTTTGTTCATCTAACAAATCGAACATAGGTTTTTCTGTATGTGTACGTGGTATAGTCAATGATTGAAGACCTGTTTCGAATTTTGCATTACGAATTGGTTCTTCACAATCAAAATAGGAACTAGACGATGTTTCAAATGGATATTGGTGGTAAAAGATATCACTAAATGAATAGGTAAAACAAACCGTAACCACCAAAGACAACGACGCTAACCCACCCAACCACATCTCACCTTCGCCAATCAGATCTGTTCTTTTAAATATGTATTGTATTTGTTTCTTTACTCGATTAGCTTTTGGATGACGGACACAAAAGTGCAGCATTGCAATCACTATCAGTATGAGAACAGATACAGTGGCTATGATCAATGTCCAAAATAAAGGTGAGACAACCGCGCCATGTCCTTTTTTTATATGGAACATATTTTCGATTGGGATTTCTTCAAATATGGTACTTTTCGGTGATTTCAGATAGGCAATAACTTGTTCGATGTTTTCTAGTGCTGATTTAGGTATTTCATTCACTGAACCGAGAGAGCAAAACGATTCATTTGCACACAGCATACATTTAATTGAAGAATTGCCAAGATTTTTTGTGCCAGTTGGACAAAGGATACAGTCATTGATACCATATTGATCTTTATACATACCAAGTAGACATGCTTCTTCGGATGTAATCAAAGGCACTGATCCTGTATCTGTTATTGGTGGAAAGAAGCCTGGTGGTGTAAGGTTGAATATTAGCAGATTATCCATATCATTCATTAAAGTTAGTGATGTTGGTGATGAAATAATATTTAAAAATACAGAACTAAAACTATTCGGTACTAATTGATGATAATTACGGAAAACTGATAGCGGAGTACTGTTAGAATTATAAGTACTCGATACCATATCATAGAAAAAGATTTGAGATGATGATCACTGATACATTAATGAATAAGTGTTTACAAGTATTGCAGCCAAGTGGGGTGTGGGTGTGGGTGTGAGTGTCTTATCTTCATACCCACCCACACCCACACCCACACCCTCTGAGATTTAGCAAATATGGTACTGCAATATCAAGTAGAACGACTAAAAATGTTTCTAACTTACAACTGACAAAGATTTGATCTTATTTGGGTGCTTTATTACTAAAAATCTACAATCTTTATATAGAAGCACAGGATTTGTCGCATCCCGAAAATTGATCGTATCGGTAAATACGCAACTTAATTTATCAATTCATTCTTAAGCTTGCATAAGTTTTTCAATTAAATCTAAACCAAAAAAGTTATATTTTTTTTTAAATTTATTTTTACACTTGGATTATGTGTTGAATCGCATCTAAATAAAAAAACATTTATTATTAATAAATTTATACTTACATTCGGATTGTGTTGGATCACATCTAAATGAAAAAGCAATTTATTTTTTTCAAAAATGTATACTTGCATTTCAGTTCAGTGATGGCCGATATCTAAAGGAAAAAAATAATGTTGTCTTTAATAAATATATACTTACAGTAGAATTATGTGTTGGATCGCATCTAAATTAAAAAAAAATAATTTTATATTTTCATAAAAAATTGTAATTCCATTTCATCTAAGTTTTGTACCACATCTAAGTGAAAGAAATATTTTTATTTTGTTTTAATCAACACTTACATTTCCGTTCAATGATGGTACATATCTAAATGAAAAAAATTATTTTATTTTTTCATAAATTTATACTTAGACTTGGTTTAGGTGTTGTATTACATCTAAAGAAAAAACAAGTTCCTGCATCTGTTTTGCGTGCCGAATAGTCATGTATGTTAATTTCAAAATCTATGCGTTTATATAAAGAAATCTGATAAATCTTCTGTATACTAACCAAAAAGCTTTCGCTTTGGGGATACGTTTTACATTAATTCTTTTTGAATAAAGAAAGATATTATTTTTTATTTTTCATCAACGTTAAATCAGAAAGTCAAAAAGTCTTATTTTAACTGCTTTCGTCTTGCACTTTTCATCAATTACACTTGGCAAAAATAACTAAACAACACCGCCTGTTAACCTCGTTTGACCACCGGCTCGAATTTTGACCGTTGATTAACCGTCGATTTTTGGAAAAAAAAGACGACATAGGAAGGTATGCTGTAGATATCATGAATATGTAAAACTGACTTATTTGTCAATCAGTTCTATAATTACAATAATAAGAATGTTAACTTAAGAAAAATGAATTTAAAAAAATGAAAAATAATGAGCGAATAGCAACAATGCAAACAAAAAATAGGGCGCTCATAGAGAAAAATGAAAAAATTCTGTTCGAAATGCAGAAATTAGAGAGGTCATTATTCTAGGCATCGATCACCCTGCAAGACGGCTATAGCCCACGAAAGATTTATCACTTTACGTATTTTGTATTAGTTTAATGAAGCTACAGTGTATATGTGAGTTCCACATTTCAGTCCCAAAGGAGCTGCTCTAACAAGCTTTTCTATCATAATGAAGAATGTATGTGAAAGCACCTCTGTAAACGAAATCAAATCAATTCATATAGAGAGAAAGATGGAGAAAAAGAATAATTTGTTTTTTTCCATAACATAAGACTATTCATTGTTATTCAAGTGTCCTTCTAGTTAATTGCTTCCACGTCCCTAGATATTGTGAATAAAAAAAAAGCTTTTTTTCTCTCACTCTTGACTTGCGTATAAGAATCACATCAGTGTCAAGAAATAGTCATTCAAACCAATCCATCTCCGGCTCAAAGCAGTAAGATGAGCAGCATTAAATCAGTAGTGCATTTGATGCTCATCGTGGCATTCTTGGCATTGTATTGCAATACACAAGAAAAGCAAGAGTCCATTCAATCTGTTAAAAAACGTAGTTGTATTCCTATTGGTAGACTTTGTAATGATGTTGCTCAGTGTTGTGGTAATGATGATCCTGAAGTTGGCCATTGTGTTTATTGTCGTACTAGTTGGCCTTTTGGTCGTCTTCAGCGTTGTGATTGTAAGTCTAGTGGTGCTGTTACTACAACTGGTGATAGTATTGTTAATAGTGATCGTTGTGCTGGTCATGATCGTCGTCTTAATCGTTGTCGGGTTACTGTTGCTCGCTCTGGTACTTATTGGGCTCGTGGTAATAACATTCTTCCCGAAAAAGACAAGAATGCTGGGTAAGTACATTGTTTCAATAATAATTCTTTGTTAGAATTTTCTGGTGTTTTGTCTACGATTCCTGTATTTATTTTTAGCTTTATGTTATTCAATATTTTATGATCTCGTCTAACTTTTTTCTTCGTAGGTAATGTGGATGCAAAAAGCAACTCTATACTAAGAATCTAACATGGTAATCAGCCATTATCAACATCAACGAACATTATAGACTCATCAGCATTCTTTTCTCATGTTTTCATATATTTGTTACACTTCGTGTCTCCTATCTTTTTCCACTGCTTTCAGTCCTAATAAAAAATACACGCCGAAAAATATTCTCTATTTAACTTATTGTAAACAGTACTGAATATTTATATTAATCATGAATATCGTATCATTGTCCTCATAAACTCACAATCATACATTCAGTCGTTTACAATTTTGATTGAGGGTGAGAGCATGCATTTTTAGAGTATTGCTCTGATATAGTTAGAAGAGCTCCGAAGTATAAACGATATTTCGACCTTCTAATGGTGTAAAACTCTTATTGAATACCAGATTATTCTGCATCGACATTCATTTCACAATTCAAAGATAATGAAGCAACAAATCAGGGTGAGGTGAAATGTGAGTGTCTTTTCTTAATCCTCACCCTCACCCGCACTGACATCCACATACCCTTCTTTTTTTGCTTACCTGGGAAGTAGAGATGTACTATGCGTACAAGTATTTGGTGCAGAACGAGAAGAACAGAAATGTTTGCCATAGAGAAGCGGATGAAAATGAGTGAAACATATTTTCGACTTACTATATACTTAGAACAATCCAAAAGTAGTAGCAGTGACTTCGCATTGCCCTATAGTAAGCTTGAAATTCCAAAAGTCCAGTCGAAAACGAAACATGACCATCTCTTTTAGCATTCAAGCGAGTTACGCGAAATTAGTTTCATTTCATATTCATTAAAATTTTACTTCACATACATTTATCTCTAATAGATGTACAAAGTGGTCACTTATAAATGCAATACACAAGCCTATCCTTTTTGAAAATATCTGTAAAGTCATAATCTAAAATTTAGCTTAAAATCTTTTTGATCTGACTATTGTTTTCCATTTTCGACTGAAGTTGATCTTTAACAAATGTCTCATAAAAAATATTCTGTATATATTCCTATAAAAAACATTGAGTCGCATTAACTGAGCTGACTCTGATGCCCATTAAGATGAATAGCTTCTTCCGTTGCACTTGCCTACAGAAATGTTCTTCAGAAGTTGACAGACTTGAAGCTAAAATGCGGAGAAATTTCATCTACTTCGGACATTCCAAAAGCAAGGGCGTTGAGACTTTAATACTGTAAATAAGCTTTAAGAAATTTCTCTCTATATAGTCTGATAGAGAAAACCATTCTCTATTTTTCTACGATATTTGATCATACTTCAACTAATATCATAATAATAAAATTTCAGTAAGATCTGTTTTTCTATCATATGTAACGATTATTCTAATCCGAGTGTTTATTTTTTCAATAACTTTTAATAGAAACAAGATAGAGAGCTGTGATTTTCACCGTTGGATAGATCTGATCGAGTTGCACTTGGAATATTAATTCCTTTTGTTGGAACATTCTATGGGACGAATCGGCTTGAAAATTACTTTTTACGTAATTGGGTACAATGAAGAAAAAAACGGTAGTTTTGTTTTTTCTAGGCTACGATAGCATGTATCGCGTAGCGGTTTTTACCATTCGATGTGGCTCATCAAGTTATACTTGACGGTTAGAATAAGGGTTTTGGAACATTTTCCTGGGCGAATCAGCACTAAAAAAAACTCGAATCTGGATGTAAGATATCCTACGTACTCACACCCCCTTTTTATTTCTCACATTACACTATTATAGTTTACTTCTTTTCCAGTAATGGGTATGTAGCGAGAAAGTACATACTTCACTGCATCGCAAGATATATCAATCATAAATAACAAATAGAAATTAAAAAACAAAAACTACATCAGAAAAAAATATGAATTTTTTTTCACTACGATATNTATTCAACAAGAATTGACAATAAAATGTTTCGTATGTGAATGACCATCTCTCATATATAGGACATATTTGTTCTGAGCATAAGCTCATTTTAATTAGATTAAATAATCAAACAGACTATGTCTAGTCATTACAGTTAATGATTGATCAGATTATTTAATTTCATATTTGTAAATATGATATTTTTTTATCTCGTGCGCAAGTTGTACGTGCGCATCTTGCAGTGCGCAAGTTTCGCCGTGCGCAAGTTTCCGTGCGTAAGTTTCGTCGTGCGCAAATTTCCGTGCGCAAGTTTCCGTGCGCAAGTTTCGTCGTGCGCAAGTTTCGGGTTCCCGTTTATATGTATAATCTTATAAAAAAAGAGGGAAACCCTTATGACTGCATCTGAAGAAGATACAGGTCATAACAACACCCTTTTGCGCTTCTTTCACACGTGGCTTTTTTTGTATGTAATTGAAACGTAGAACGATAGAGAAAAAACAAGTATGAGGCAAAGCAACCAAGACAAAAAAGAAAACTAGGCTCTTGAAACGTAAAGAATATCGATTGAAAGAAATGGACATCTTTTCTTCAATGTCGGAAGACGAAATATTAATATCTGGAGGCAAACTTGTGTGTTGTAATAAAAAAAAAGTACATCTTTTGATCTAGTAGAAATTTTATGATGAGAACTTCGAATAAAATTCAAGATATTATAGATCGTATGTTGATTTATATACTTTTTTAGAAGTGTTGTTGATAATATCAGAAAACTGGTTTTTAGTTTTTGTTGTTGTATCTATTCGTAAATTAAAAAAAGTATAAATATCTATCAACAATTCAACAAACAGAAATTCAAGTCTATTTATCTGTAAAAAATTAATAACTAAATAATACTTTGAACGTGACGAACAGAAAATTTATACTTCAATCCATTTTTGCTGTTTTTCAAATAATTACCATTTCTAAATTATTTAAAAAGAATCTTGTCAATAATACGATCATGCCATAGCATAATTACTTCATTTGTTGCTCACTAAGTCAAGTCATAGCTGCTACATTGTCTTGTCTTTTTCTCTCTTTCCAATATAAACCAGGTCCTATTTCAGGAGGTGGACACGACTGGTGCGTATTTAATGAAAACCAGAGAGAAACCATTGCTTATTTCTTTGTTAATGCAATGAATATTTTATTGTGATCAACAATGATAAGCTGGAGGAGTAACGTTATCACTATCCTCGGTATAGATGTTCTATGTGCTAGTTCATCACTGCACGTGTGTCTGCTTCATAGAGAATACGAACCTATATACAAAAGAGGATGCTAGGAAGAAGATAGAAAAGAATGAATAGATAACAGAGTGAACAGGTAGCTATTATCATTGATGAGTTCAGAGCGTCTAACCGAAAGATAGTGACAACTACAATAAATATGAAAAATAGGAAAATTTTCAGTAATTGTAGATCATCTATTACATTAGAAGTAGAGTAACACATCGACATTGCCTTCCGCTCAGTAACCAGTATGCTAACATATTGATAGTCACGTAAAACATTTCCTCGATATGTTAACTAGTATTTGCTCTCATCCCCAAGCTATGCAAAATATGTATGTTAGACTAAGTAGTTTTATTTAGCATATATAGGTAGGGTGGAGATTTTCGGTGAGTAATGAATTTCTGTTGTTTCTTCAAATTGTTTTTGGAGAAAACCATTGCTATATATTGTAGTGCTAGTGTACCGTCCATGGCTATGTCTTTTTATATAATGCATTATAAACGGAAAAAAGTACTTAACATTTCTTTTTATGAGATAAACCATTATCGTTATTATAATATCATTTGTATCGTTTCTTATTATCAACTTTGATCAATTCAGATAGGAAATATGATTGCATCGATTGATGACCTTGATAAAAAATAGTGGATATCGGATTAATTAAGGCCAACAACATAAAATTGAGCTTAATAAGAGACTTCTATGCAATGTTTCAAATAAACTTGAAATATTTCGTTTCTTCGGAAATAAGGACATGAATTTGAGTCTTATATTCACGCACAATGTTACCAATAACATTTATATTATTTTCATTTCGAACATTATTTGCTTAGATCGATGCTTGAAAACAAAACAAAACATTCCAGAATATCTATTAAACAGATTATTTATTTTCTTGTATTATAATACGAATTCATCTCTACGTGTTATATTATTCATTATAAACCTACGAGGAATTGTGCGTATTTAACGGTTCGTTTATAGTAAAAGTTGCTAAATATTTATGAGCATAGCTTTTATAAATACAGAATAACAAATCATGAAAAATGGTTTTTTGCTACAACAGTAATTGAAACTTATTTTTAATGATGTACACTGTTAACCACGGCGGTAAAAGTTAAAATATGATTTTAAGTCTGATATCAATACTAATTAATAACGTTCGATTAAATTATCATCCAACATAATTAACTTCAATATCTTGTTGTCATCAAAATTGTTATTGATGCCATTACGTAGAACGTGTTGCTTAGAACATCGTATAGCTACTTCATTTATTATAAATGAAGGTCTCTACTGAACCAACATTACATAGTTCCTTTTCCGATAGTTAATATGTATGATAATGTAATTATAAATAATTAGTCGATACAACGAGAAGAAAATCATCGACAGCAAAACATTCATCTAGTGATCATTGACATTGACAATTGATGGAATATTCAAGAGATTTGTTAAACTATTGATGATATGATCTTCTCAAAGATGTTCCATATAAAATAAATATATATGAGCTGTCTTTACATTAATCATGGAATCTCAATTTTATTCAACATTTTCTATCGTGACTCGTAAGCTACGTTGTTTATGCTCCTGTTTTATATAGCCGCACGCTAAACAAAAACACTCGGCAAATATTTTTTTTTTCTTTCCCTCACACTCACAATTGTCACATGGCATGTATATGAGAACGTTATTAGGTTCTTTTTTTTGAAGTCAGTAAAAATACAAAATATTTCATTGAATCATTTTATATTAAAGTCAATAAGAAAATTATTAATAATATTTTATTTGGAACAAATAGAGCTAACATTTAAGTTCATATAAAAAAATGACAACTACTTCAAATCATCCTCAAGTTATTTTCATTGGTATTGCTGGTCCATCGGGTTGTGGAAAAACAACTTATGCTAAACATTTAGTCGATCATCTTCATTCACCATTACATCTTATTGAATTAGATCATTTTTATTTTCGTCCAGTTACAATTGATCATCCTATTCTAGGGCGTATTAAAAGTGATGAAGAACCTGATACTTTACACATTCAATCTTTATTAACTTTGATACGACAGATTAAATATGAACCAGAAAAACTAACTCGATATCATCAAAATGATATTTCTATTAATAATAATAAATATATATTTGTTATAATCGAAGGTTTTCTTCTATTTGCTTTATCTGATGAATTAACAAATATGTTCGATATACGAATATTTTTTGAATCAACACAATCTGAATGTCGCATGAAACGTTATCGTCGTCATTCAAGAATACATGATACAATACCTGATGAACGAATAATTATTCCAAATGAATTTCAACAATGGTTTGATCATTTAGTTTGGACTGAATATTTAAAAAGACGAGATTTACAAATATCAAAAGCTGAAAAAATATTTCATTTCGAAGAATATCAAGATAAACAATACATACAACTTAATAATTATATTGATAAACGTTTGAAAGACATTATAGATAAAAGAAAAACTTAATCTGTATTTATTTTTGCTTCAGAATACTAATCTTCTTTCTTTTTCGGTTACGTTATTGTATGTGTATATTTATGACTTTAAATCTTTTCTTTTTTTCACCTATGCTAGATCGTAAAAAGATAAGTAAAACAAAATATAATACATCATGTAAATTCATCATTATTCAATTGTTTTCAAGCAAATCAAGTCGTATGTCGTCATCAACTAACATTAAGTCAACAAATCCTCGTCGTTATGCATGTATTACGGATAAGGGATGCATTATATTGGCAGCTTCATTTTCGTTAGTTGTTTTGTTAATTTGTATTGTATTTATTGTTGCATGCCGTAAAAAACGACATCTAAATCGTATTCATTCAGTACAATGCTCCAGTGTACAACAGAATGATTATAATTCACACTCGTCTGATCCACCTCCATATAACTGGTATTCAGAATCACCACCGCCACCATATAATCAAGTTAAAGTTTGACTAAGCAAAATAAATCTTTAATTGCTCTGTATTAATTCTGAATCTTCATAAGTTCAAATTCTTGATTTGAAATAAAATTGCACATAAAGACCTGATTAAAATAATATTTCATAGGCAATATATCTGTCTGTATGAATGAGAATATATATCTAGGAAGTTATAGAGTTCGCTAGTGTACTCAATTGAAATATAGTTTGTCTTAAGAGGAAACATATTCAACTGTCAATCTCCGATCAAAATATTATTTTGTTAGACTATAAAAACTCTGAAAGGATTTCTCCTCATAGATCTTTCTTATCGATTTATGATCGTTCTATTGGATTTTTTATTTAAGTCAAGGTATTCATAAAATAATAAAAAGAAGGCATTTTGTGGAACTCACATATATTTTCAAAGAAAATTGCAGTAGATATCATTAATATGTAAAAGAGACTTATTTGCTAATTATTTTAATAATTATAATAATAAGAATGTTAAATTAAGTATAAATGAATTTAAAAAAATAATAAATAATGAGCGAATAGCAACAATGTAAACCAAAAATAGAGCGTCTATAAGAAAAAGTTTATAAAAGTTTTGTTCGAAATACAGAAATTAGAGAGGTTCTTACTCTAGTGATTGGTTATTCTGCAAAACAACTATAGCCTAAGAGAGATTTTTCACTTTACGTATTTTGTATTAGTTGAATAAGGCTAGAAAGCGTATGTGAGTTTCACATTTCAGCCCCAAAAGGGCTGCACTAACAAACTTTTTTATCTGAACTTCATAAGCCAAAAATCCAATAAAATGCTCATAACTTCATAAGGAAGGTCTACAGGGGGAAATCCTTTCGGGTTCTTTTTTTTTATAAAGCAGCAAAATATTACTTCAATCGGCAATTAACAGTTGGATATCCTTTCTCATTCGACAGTTTTCACCAAAAGCAATGAAAGGATCTTTAAGCTAATACAAGGACTATTGAAGTATCGGTGTAAAAATTGTAATATTGAGCCATGTAATTCACGAAGATACGGTCGTTTTACAGAGTGTGCAGATTTCGTACTTTTTGTCCGCGGGAGGTCCTAATGCGTAAATACCATTTTTTGTTACCCTACGCAGTCATTTGCAGTATAACTACTATATGGTAACTATGTTGTAGATGAACGTAAGTGAATTCCTGTTTCTAGACTCTATTCTTTCAGTCTGTAAAAAAGCATGATGAAGAAATGTGTTCCAAAATAGATAGAATGAAAAAATCTCCGTGTGATTAACAACAGCAGCTAAACTCCCCCCCAGAATAGAAGGCCACCCCATATTAGAAGGCCACCCCCATTAGAAGGCCACCCTGAGTCATATCTGCAAAAGTCATATTAGAAGGCCACGACTTTCTAATAAAATGNAAAGCAGTAAAATATTACTTCAATCGGCAAGTAACAGTTGGATATCCTTTCTCATTCGACAGCTTTCACCAAAAGCAATGAAAGGATCTTTAAGCTAATACAAGGACTATTGAAGTATCGGTGTAAAAATTGTAATATTGAGCCATGTAATTCACGAAGATACGGTCGTTTTACAGAGTGTACAGATTTCGTACTTTTTGTCCGTGGAAGGTCCTAATGCGTAAATACCATTTTTTGTTACCCTACGCAGTCATTTGCAGTATAACTACTATATGGTAACTATGTTGTAGATGAACGTAAGTGAATTCCCGTTTCTAGATTCTATCCTTTCAGTCTGTGAAAAAGAATGATGAAGAAATGTGTTCCAAAATAGATAGAATGAAAAAATCTCCATGTGATTAACAACAGCAGCTACGTCATGTTTCATATTTTAATCCTACAGGGATTGAGCTAGCACGCTTTGTTTTTTTATTGATATCTGTTTGACTTCGAATTTAACTTAGGTCATAGATATGATATGAACAGTATAAATATATGAAAATACGATTTACGGTTAATCAATGAAATAATTATAAAATCAGTCAATTTAATGATTAATTAATTAATTAGGTTTGTAAATAAATTTAAAAATTAGTAAATACAATTTATTAACAGTCGACTATATTAAAATGCTAGTATAAAAATTGAAATGGTTATAGAATGAATCATTTTTGTTCTTCTTCTTTTTTTTCTCTTCAGCAGTTTTACACATGTTCCCGTTCGTTTGACCTATTTCTTTTAACCTACATATTTTGTGAATAAAAAAACATCATTGTTCTAATTCTTCTTATTGTCCATAATCTAAAACAAAAGAAAAAAAAGCTTCTCGATTATTTTCCTAGTCGTTATAGTATTTGTAACCATGAAATAAATGAACCCTAAAGAAAATCGAATCAAATGATAGTTCGTATGAAAGTCTACAACTGTATGCACCAAGTATAAACAATGTTCTAGAGGCAACCAATAAAACAAGCAAAGAGGATGAAACGTGTCGAGAACGTCATATTTTGTCAATCGTTTTCATAATTTCTTCGAATATAATCAATAATTGAGGAACTGAATAAGATTGATCCTCGGTTAATATAAGAATGGCTACTTCCAAATTGCGGTCAAAAATCACACCTATTTGCGCCCTCACCCACACTGTCGGTCTGCTGATTGGTTTGATCTTTGTCCGCAATTTGGAAGCTACGATAAGAATATTTTTTACAGAGCCAACAATATCTTTAGGGTTTTGGACTTTATTACATCAATGGGCTAAATCAATGAAAGATATCATTTGTATTTCAAATATACACTAGCTCGTGGTTTACAATTGATTACAAAAGATGATTTAAATAAACATAAGAAAAAAAAATAGATAATGCTTAATTAATTGAAAAAAATCATTTGATATGTGATGTATGGAAATGAAAAATGATTAAAATTGAAAAACATTGAAATGCAACTGTCCACTTTTTTTTTGGTTTATGCAAAAATAAACGTTGTGAATATGGCTATGTGTTTGAAATATTGTAAATTCCTAGCAGCAACAAAGACATTGTCGATCAGTGAAAAAACAAAAAGAGATAGACAATTAAAGGCTAAATCTGCTTAACTAATACAATAATTAAATGGTTCTTAAAATTTCTTCTTTGCTTTTTTGATTTATTTAAAAATATTTTCTACTAATCAATTTTGTATTTTTTACTGATATAAATTGAAAATTTTTACTACTACTAAATCGTGGCCTAAATATATTGCGTTGTTAAGTTTTGTTGAGTTATATTCCAAACAAGATAATTCAAAATTTTTTAGCTTATCTATTTCATGTAATAGGATAATAATTGTCGTCTCTCGAGATTTAATAATTAAAGATGTAAAATGTTGATTCACTTGTTCATAATAATATTTTCGAAATATCATTTTCTAATATCGATATAGAAAATTTCTTGGTGCATGCATTACAATATGAATGAATGGAAATAAATACTCTATTCAGTTGAAAAATCTATTAACGCAATCCCTTCGGGGTTACCATATGAAACACAGTGGAGCTGTTACTGATAATGACAGTTAGATTGCTTTAGTCAATCTATTTAGGAGTACACTTCTTCGCCATCTTTCTACTGAACCATTTAGAAATGCAATAAAGAAGTATTTCATATATTGTGATGACACCTCATTGACATGCAGCCTTTGATCATATATTAACAACGTTAGTTAAAGTGAAATTTTCTATTTCTTTTAGATCGTGTTTCAAGCACAAAAAAAAATTACATGCTATTTTGTTTAATGAACGTGTAAATTAGAATATATTTTTAAATAAAAGAAAATTATTTTGTAGTTTTGCGCCTAATTACAAATAAATTCTGTTTAAATTTAATTTTTTTATGAATTTTTTTGTAGATAAAAAATTAAAAATATATTTGATAATAATAACAAATCGAATAATTCGTATGTTTAATATATTGTATCGAAAAAGCTAGTTGTCTAAGATTGTATTTATCAAGAAATATAAATTGTAAAATTTTGTCATAATGTTGAAAAATAACCTGTGTTAAATACTCTACTAAGTGAATATATTTGACAATATTCAATTTAATATGATCAATTTGTAAAAGGAAAAATCGAATAATCTCTAATTCAAAGAAGAATTTCCTAATCTTTCTTCGTCATTCTATATGCTCGAAAAAAATCGTATCAAATGCAAGTAATCAATAAGATGCAAACATTTGTATACGATCATCGTACACAGTACTAATGATAAGCATTAATATCATAAACGATAAATCCGTCATATGTCTAAGTAAACATGATAGTTCGATAAATCAAGACTAATGTCTTATATTATTATCACTAATTATATCCATATACAAATTTTTGCATCTGATTGCTATAATATCTTGAATCTCTTGTTTGAATTTTTGTATGCTTTGTTTTGTACTATTCATCATTCAAAGTTTGCATATCTAAAAGAACATCGTTTGATGTTCTCTGAATTTTTTAGATAAGAGACAAAAACAAAAATCATCATGGAGTCAACAAAATAATATAATTATTCAAGAGAATCATTGACTGCCAGTGTATTTATTATCAGCATTGACGGGCAGTCCCGGATTTAGTCCCATTCGACGATTTCTCATGTGGATTTCTTCTCAATGCGATCATTATTCATTAAATCAAAAGTGGAATCTTCATTATTAGTTATGTAAAGAATTCATTCTCGAACTGTTATTCATTGAGCAAAACTGATATAATAATTCAGCTTAAACAAAATGATGTGCTCGTGATTAATATTATGACACACATGATAAATACGAAGACAGAATAATAAGCAACATGCAATTCACAACTAAATATAGTCACGTACTTTCATTTAATTATCAAGCATCATATTTAGTAACTTATTGCAGCAAAGCTGAAAAAAAACAAACAGCTTATTTTTTTTTTATTCTATATTTAACATATCTTTGTGTTATCAATGTCTATAATTTTTTCATAGTTTTCTTGTTATTCTTTATTATTCAAATTATTCTGGTCTACATGAAATATAATTATGAATCGTTGTGATCGATAATATTATGACCGTACTGAGAAAAC